TTTTACCTAACAGCTTGTTCTGATAGGTTTCTAGTGGGGTCAAAAGAGAGCAGCAGATGACTCCACAGGGGGGTCTGGGCGGGTGCCGGACAGTGTGCCGCAGAAGTCGTTTTAAGCCAACAGTCACACACTTCGTGCTCTTCGACCTCCCAGAACTCCATTCCCGGGCCACATTCTGAATGCCCGGAGCCAACTGTAGGCCACTTCGTGCTCTTCGAGTCCCCAGAATTCCATTCCCGGGCCACATTTGAATGCCCGGAGCCAACTGTAGGCCACTTCGTGGTCTTCGAGTTCCCAGAACTCCATTCCCGGGCCACATTTTGAATGCCCGGAGCCAACTGTAGGCCACTTCGTGCTCTTCGAGTTCCCAGAACTCCATTCCCGGGCCACATTTTGGATGCCCGGAGCCAACTGTAGGCCACTTCGTGCTCTTCGAGTTCCCAGAACTCCATTCCCGGGCCACATTTTGGATGCCCGGAGCCAACTGTAGGCCACTTCGTGGTCTTCGAGTTCCCAGAACTCCATTCCTGGGCATGATTTTGAATGCCCGGAGCCAACTGTAGGCCACTTCGTGTTCTTCGAGTTCCCAGAACTTCATTCCCGGGCCACATTTTGAATGCTGAGGCAGGCTGATGCTGAGGCTGAGGCAGGCTGAGGATGAGGCAGGCTGAGGCTGAGGCCGAGGCTGAAGGCAGACTGAGGCTGAGGCTGAAGCAGGCTGAGGCTGAGGCTGAGGCAGGCTGAGGCTGAGGCTGAGGCAGGCTGATGCTGAGGCAGGCTGAGGCTGAGGCTGAGGCTGATGCAGGCTGAGGCTGAGGCAGCCTGAGGCTGAGGCCGAGGCTGAAGGCAGACTGAGGCTGAGGCTGAAGCAGGCTGAGGCTGAGGCTGAGGCAGGCTGAGGCTGAGGCAGGCTGAGGCTGAGGCTGAGGCAGGCTGAGGCTGAGGCTGTGACTGCGACTGCCGTTGCCACTGCGACTGTCATCGCGAATGCGACTACGACTGCGAGAACAGCAGAATTCTACAACTGGATTCTCATCTGAATCTTAAGGGGAATGCTTCCAGATATGCTCCTACACATCGCTGTTAGGTTGCTTTGCCGGGATAATTACCTAACAGCTTGTTCTGATAGGTTTCTAGTGGGGTCAAAAGAGAGCAGCAAATGACTCCACAGGGGGGTCTGGGCGGGTGCCGGACAGGGTGCCGCAGAAGTCGTTTTAAGCCAACAGTCACACACTTCGTGCTCTTCGACCTCCCAGAACTCCATTCCCGGCGTACATGTTGGATGCCCGGAGCCAACTGTAGGCCACTTCGTGGTCTTCGAGTTCCCAGAACTCCATTCCCGGGCCACATTTTGCATGCCCGGAGCCAACTGTAGGCCACTTCGTGGTCTTCGACTTCCCAGAACTCCATTCCCGGGCCACATTTTGAATGCCCGGAGCCAACAGTAGGCCACTTCGTGGTCTTCGACTTCCCAAAACTCCATTCCCGGGCCACATTTTGAATGCCCGGAGCCAACTGTAGGCCACTTCGTGGTCTTCGATTTCCCAGAACTCCATTCCCGGGCCACATTTTGAATGCCCGGAGGCTGAGGCACTGACGCTGAGGCTGAGGCAGGCTGAGGCTGAGGCTGAGGCAGGCTGAGGCTGAGGCTGAGGCTGAGGCTGAGGCTTAGGCAGGCTGAGGCTGAGGCAGGCTGAGGCTGAGGCCGAGGCTGAAGCTGAGGCTGAGGCTGAGGCTGAGGCAGGCTGAGGCTGAGGCTGAGGCTGAAGGCAGGCTGAGGCTGAGGCTGAGGCAGGCTGAGGCTGAGGCTGAGGCTGAGGCAGCCTGAGGCTGAGGCAGCCTGAGGCTGAGGCTGAGGCTGAGGCTGAGGCTGAAGCAGGCTGAGGCTGAGGCTGAAGCAGGCTGAGGCAGACGCTGAGGCTGATGCAGGCTGAGGCTGAGGCAGGCTGAGGCTGAGGCTGAGGCTGAGGCGGAAGGCAGACAGGCTGAGGCTGAAGCAGGCTGAGGTTGAGGCTGAGGCTGAGGCAGGCTGAGGCTGAGAGTGAGGCAGGCTGAGGCTGATGCAGGCTGAGGCTGAGGCTGTGATTGCGAATGCCGTTGCCACTGCGACTGTCATCGCGAATGCGACTGCGACTGTGAGAACAGCAGAATTCTACAGCTGGATTCTGATCTGAATATTAAGGAGAATGCTTCCAGATATGCTTCTACACATCGCTGTTAGGTTGCTTTGCCGGGATAATGTTTTTTTTTTTGCGCATCTGCCATTTTGCGCATTTCTTGACTTCATTACCTGACAGCTTGTTCTGATAGGTTTCTAGTGGTGTCAAAAGAGAGCAGCAGATGACTCCACAGGGGGGTCTGGGCGGGTGCCGGACAGGGTGCCGCAGAAGTCGTTTTAAGCCAACAGTCACACACTTCGTGCTTCTCCCAGAACTCCATTCCCGGGCCACATTCTGAATGCCCGGAGCCAACTGTAGGCCACTTCGTGCTCTTCGACTTCCCAGAACTCCATTCCCGGGCCACATTCTGAATGCCCGGAGCCAACTGTAGGCCACTTCGTGCTCTTCGACTTCCCAGAACTCCATTCCCGGGCCACATTTTGAATGCCCGGAGCCAACTGTAGGCCACTTCGTGCTCTTCGAGTTCCCAGAACTCCATTCCCGGGCCACATTTTGAATGCCCGGAGCCAACTGTAGGCCACTTCGTGCTCTTCGAGTTCCCAGAACTCCATTCCCGGGCCACATTTTGAATGCCCGGAGCCAACTGTAGGCCACTTCGTGCTCTTCGAGTTCCCAGAACTCCATTCCCGGGCCACATTTTGAATGCCCGGAGCCAACTGTAGGCCACTTCGTGCTCTTCGACTTCCCAGAACTCCATTCCCGGGCCACATTTTGGATGCCTGGAGCCAACTGTAGGCCACTTCGTGCTCTTCAAGTTCCCAGAACTCCATTCCTGGGCATGATTTTGAATGCCCGGAGCCAACTGTAGGCCACTTCGTGTTCTTCGAGTTCCCAGAACTCCATTCCCGGGCCACATTTTGAATGCTGAGGCAGGCTGATGCTGCGGCCGAGGCAGGCTGAGGCTGAGGCAGGCTGAGGCTGAGGCCGAGGCTGAAGGCAGACTGAGGCTGAGGCTGAAGCAGACTGAGGCTGAGGCTGAGGCAGGCTGAGGCTGAGGCTGAAGCAGGCTGATGCTGAGGCAGGCTGAGGCTGAGGCTGAGGCTGATGCAGGCTGAGGCTGAGGCAGGCTGAGGCTGAGGCCGAGGCTGAAGGCAGACTGAGGCTGAGGCTGAAGCAGGCTGAGGCTGAGGCTGAGGCAGGCTGAGGCTGAGGCAGGCTGAGGCTGAGGCTGAGGCAGGCTGAGGCTGAGGCTGTGACTGCGACTGCCGTTGCCGCTGCGACTGTCATCGCGAATGCGACTACGACTGCGAGAACAGCAGAATTCTACAACTGGATTTTCATCTGAATCTTAAGGGGAATGCTTTCAGATATGCTTCTACACATCGCTGTTAGGTTGCTTTGCCGGGATATTTTTTTGAATTCCTCCAAAATCCGCCTGTCGGAGGACATGCTCGACCCAAGCCCAGCTCCAACCCGCTTCACGTCTCGAAGAACAGAGGGCGGCACAGGCAAAGACGTTCGGAGGTCCACGCGGATTCTCTTGGGTCGGCGCTGGACGGCCCCCTTGCGGCGCCTCCCGCCGACGCCCCTGGTGCGCCAGCGCCGACGGAAGAACGCCACGCCGTGCGGGCACGTAGTTCGGCCGGACGCCCCCCACTCGTCCGCGCACGTGCCCTGCGAAAGCATCACGACGGGGGGTTTTTGAGCACTCTCGGCCTCCGTGAGCCCCCGTCGGGCCCTGGGATCGTCACGCAACTCGAAGAACAAAAACGGCATACACATGAACTTTTGGAGCTCCGCGCGGATTTCTTGGATCCGCGCTGGGCCCCCCCCGGCGGCGCCTCCGGCGCAGCCCCTGGCGCGCTCCGCGCGCCTGGGGGGGGGGGGGGTGCAGCGCAGCTCCAAGAAATCCGCGAGGAGCGCCATAAATCTATGTTTATCAGGGTGGCCCTATGCGGACCCTCCGAGCGCGGCCCTGCGGCCCGCGACGGCTCCCAGGGGGCGCGAAGTTGGCCCCGCTCCGCGCGTCGCGAGGCCGTGCCAGAGCAGCAGCAGCACTGGCCACCCTGCCTCAGGACCGTCCTCGCCTCTCCCCACTCGCCGAGCGCTCTCCACCACTCGCAAGGTGCCTGCAGTCGTAAGTCCCTCGCGGCGGATCGCAAGTCCCTCGCGGCGGATCCAGGCCACTTGCGAGCAGTGACTTTGCGAGTCGTGGAGCGCGCTGGTCTGCAGTCCGCCCGCACAGTGAGGCCGGGCAGCCTTCCAGAGGGTACCCTGACCTCCTTGCCTCCTCGGCCCGTCCTCGGCCGCTTTCGCTCGCCGCGCCCCGCTCGAGAAGCTTCGAAGTGGGCGTCCACGGCCCTTGCATCCTTATCGCGCATCCTCATGATACGGGTTGACTGTACTCGCAAACGTCAGAAACAAAAAACACATGCTTGCCTCGGTGCAGTGGGTGATAAAAATCCCCCGCGGCGGATCCGGGCCACTTGCGAGTGGTTGCTAGGCGCGTCGTGGAACACACAAGTGTCTGCACGCGGGAGGAACAGACGGCGAGGACGGTCCTGCGGCAGGGCTGCCTTTGCCGACCACGCTGGGACGAGTGGGGGGCGCGTTCCGCACTGCTCCCCGCGGATCCTTCCAGAAGTGTGCCTAGGAAAGAAAAGAAGAGCGAGTCCTAGCATACAGTCCACCCGCATGGCAAGGATGGGCAACCTTCCCAAGGGTATCCTGACATCCTTGCCTCCTCGGTCCATCCTTGGCCACTTTTGCTGTCTGCGCCCCGCTCGAAAAAAGCTTCGAAACGGCCTTCCAAGGCCCTTGCATCCTTATCGCAAATCCTAATGATACGGGCCGTCTGTAGCAGAGTCCCCTTTCCACCGTAGCACTTTTGCCTCGAGCCATTTCGGTCGAAGCCCTTGCGTCCTAGGCATCTTCCGAGATCGTGGCGCATAAGGCGCAGGATTATCGAAGACGCCTTCGGCGAATCACCGCCGCCCCTGCCTTTTGGAATCGCCCATGTGGCCGAGCGATGTGGCACGAGCTCTGCCAAGCTATCGGACCATATATTCCCCCAGCCGTTGTGGAAACCCTTCGAGGAACACTTGGGGGAGGATGGTGGGGAAGATGGAGAAGGAGGAAGAGGAGAGGAGGAGGAGGAAGAGGAGAAGGAGGAGGAGGAGGAGGAGGAGGAGGAGGAGGAGAGGAGGAGGGAGGAGGAGAGGAGGAGGAAGAGGAGGAGGAGGAGGAGGAGGAGGAGGAGGAGGAGGAGGAGGACTCTTGGGCCCGAACAGGTCGCGCGACGGGGCGCCACGAGCCCCGGGAGCCACGCGCCCAGCCCCCGAATATCTTGTGTCGATGTCGGGTCCGGGCCCCTTGCAGAACCGTCCTCGGGATTGGGGGCTGAGGCTGACCGTGGAGACCCATGCCAAGGAACGCCCAGCCTGCCTCCAGGGTGCCCTGGGTTTCCTGGGTTTCGAGGGTTTTGCTATGGAGAGCGTGGCGCTCCCACACCAGAACTGCATGGACGTCCTGGGGTCTCATGGTTGGGTTTCTGGTGGAAGGTTTCTTGTGGACTGGCCTCCACTGTAGGCCAGGGAGCTGAGGACACTCCAACTCGTGCCTCAAGGCACGGTGGCGGATAAGGTGACGCATGTCTGGCTTCTCTGTTGGGACGAAGGTGCAGATCAGCGGCCTCACGGGAGCGCTGGAGCTGAACGGCAAGTTTGGATTTGTCAGTGGAGAGGACTCGGAGGCTGGCCGTGTTACCGTAGACGTCGACGGAGTGGGTGAGAAGAAGCTGAAGCCGCAGAATTTGACCAAGATTGTCAAGGGCGGTGCCTTTTTCCCTGCGGGAGCGCGAGTCACAATCAATGGTCTGAGTGGGGCCGTGCACCTGAACGGCAAAGAGGGCAACGTCTTGGGCAAGGACGAGGCGTCTGGCCGCTACACTGTCGAGATTGATGGTGAGGGTGAGAAGAATCTGAAACCCGAAAATCTGACAAAGGCTTCTGCTGGGGTGAGGGTGCCAGCGAAGAAAGAGAAGGTTCGCAAAGACTTACCAAGCGAGCTGCAAGAAGATGGCTTCCAAATAGCGCAGCACGTCCGGGTCGGGGGCCTGAATGGCGCCAAGGAGCTGAACGGAAAAGTGGGAGTAATCTTTGGATACGATAAGGAAGCACAGCGATACATCTTGGAGTTCGAAGCTTCAGGACAAAAGAAAATCAAAAAGGAAAATTGTGTTCCAATGAATGTGAGTTCTGGACCTCTTTCGGCAAAAGCTCGGATGCTGAACGGGATGTAGGTTCTTTTGCCCTCTTAGTAAGTCCGCTTTGTGTCAGAGATAGTTGTTATCGCGCTGAATTCAGTTCTTTCTAATCATGCCAACAGGTGCTCGGTACGTTAATCGTCTGCTTGGAAAAATAGTTTGGAGGCTGGCAGTTTGCATCGATTGTTTTGTTGGGCTTGTCTGCTCGCGACGGAAGCGGCGCGTGCTCCTCTAGCTCGTTCGCCGTCGCTCACCCGGCTGAGTTTATCTGTCCCGTAAGGGTGCGGAGAAGCAGGTGAGGGCAGGGTATGTGGGACAGGGGAGAGTACAGGAGTCTGGCAATAATCGATAAGGACGCATGTGAGTTAGATTTTCTCCAGGAGTGTCTCAGGGGATCTGGCAGATGCGCCAGGTGGACAGCCTGACATACGAGAAGGGGGTCCTGTCGACGTCGGAGCAAGCATTAAAGCGACAGACTGGCGCGCTCGGGGCAGGGAGGAGGAGGAGGAGAAGGAGGAGGAGGAGGAGGAGGAGGAGGAGGAGCAGGAGGAGTAGCAGGAGGAGGGGGATGAGTGCACCTAGGTGCCAGTGCGCTGAAAAGGAGGTGGAACATGCCACCAATGATGCGGTGCTGGCAGTATGTCAGCTTGCTGCCTGCGGCAAGTCCCGCCACTGTGCCAGAGCAGAAGGGTGGGGGACGCGTCCAGCACAGCCCGGAAGGCCTCAGCGTTGGAAGCCTGTCGTCTGTACGGTCGGACCGAGGTCTGAGATCGAGGTAAGTTCGGGGAGGGTGCCGCCACGCTCTTCGTGCTTCCTGGAGGTTCTTGCGCATCCCGGGGAGGGTACCCTTGGAAGATTCTGTGTGTTGTGGCCGGCGGAGGGTCTCCAGACCCCCAACGTCGTGATTTTTTCACAACGTCGACCCTCAGAGGTTCGGACCCCTTCCCCCAGGACTGGTTCGGCATCCTGAGTCGTTTTTTGACGCTCCGGGGCCCGGCAGGGGCCCCATAGGCCGAAGATAGCGAACACCGTCCCGTCGTGCTTTTTTCCACAGCGCGAGGGGGTCTGGGTCTCGTGCTCTTGAAGGATGTTCTTCGATCCTTGGTCAGGCTTTACTCCTGGAGGGGGGTCTTGCGGGGGCTACCTGGACCTCCTTGATGCCTCGTGCCCCGTTGGGGCCCGCCTGCGGCACTGCGCTCTTGGAGCCTTCTTGGGTCGTCTTGAGGCTCTTTTTTATGCCGACTTGGCGCCGTCTGAGGCCCCCCCTCCTCCTCCTCCTCCTCCTCCTCCTCCTCCTCCTCCTCCTCCTCCTCCTCCTCCTCCTCCTCCTCTCCTCCTCCTCCACCTCCTCCTCCTCCTCCTCCTCCCCCTCCTCCTCCTCCTCCCTCCTCCCTCCTCCTCCTCCTCCTCCTCCTCCTCTCGGCAATCTGGGGAGTCTCCTGGGGCTGTCTCTTGCGGCATCTTGAGGCCCTCTCGAGCCGCCCTGGACCTGCCTGAGAGCTGCGCCGGGGCGCTCTCGGGGCGATCATGGGACTGGAGCCCTTGTTCGGTGCTCCTGCCCTCTCTCCGTGGCTCCTCCTAGGCCCCCTCGGAGCCATCTTGAGCCAAGAGGCCAGGGAAACGCCGAACATCCCACAGCCGAAGGACGCCTCAGGGTTTTCGAGCGATGCCTTCTCTGTGCTGTCTTCTCTCTGGTTTCTTCTCTCCGGTGTCGCGGTATTCTTTCTGACCCCCTCTTCGTCGCCTCCTGGGGTGCTCTCGGGAGCGGTTGGGTGCCCCTCGAGGCAGCGCTGGGCCGTCTGGGCGGCCTTGGCGGCCGTCCAGGCCTCGGGGAGCTTGGGAGGGCTCCAGTGAGGCGTCTGGCCGCCCAGGGAGTCCTGGGAGGGAGGGGGGATGCACTTGTCCTCGCTGGCCTCCTCCTCCTCCTCCACCTCCTCCTCCTCCTCCTCCTCCTCCTCCTCCTCCTCCTTCCCCCCGTGCCGATGACCCCCCAGCCTCCTTGGTACTCGAAGAGGTCGGGGCAGGGACGCACGGGGCAGCCTTTAAGGGCCCTTTCTGGGGTCCGACGAGCACCCAGACCACGAGTACTCCAGATTTCGTAATAAAGGGAGGGGGGTCTGGGGGGTCTGGGGGGTCTGGGGACGATGTTTTGGAGGGTTCTCCCACGGGGGAGGTCCGAAATGGCTTGTCTTCGAGGGTCCAGACCCCCTCCCTTTTACTACGAAATCTGGAGTACCAGGGAGTGGGGGTCGGGGCGACAAAGTCTTAATTAAGCAGGCTCCCGCATGTCTGGTGTTAGCCAGGCCTGCTGCACGACGGGCGTTAGCCAGGAATCAAGGGGTGGGTTCGGGGGGGCCAACCCAAATTCGGGTTGCGTTCGCAGGACTGGCGTCAACCAGGACTGCTGCACGACTGGCGTTAGCCAGGAATCAGTTCAGGGGGTTTGGAGGGTCTCATAATGCAGCTGCCGCTGCACGACTGGCATCAGCCAGGACTGCTGCACGCCCGTTTAGCCAGGGATTGGCTCCCCTATGGGGGTCGGGGGGGGCGGCAGCCAGGAAACATCCTAACGTTTTTGACCCCTCATGCCAGGGCGTCGGCTCCTCCTGCCCTGACCCCTCATGCCGTGGCCTTGGCTGGCCCCTCATGCGTTGACCCCCTCATGCTGGGGCCTTGGCGCTTCATGCGTTGATCCCTCATGCCGGGGCTTCGGCCCCTCACGCCCTGACCCCTCATGCTGGGGCCCCACCGATGCATTGGCATGCGTTGGCATGCGTTGGCATGCATTGGTATGCGTTGGCATGCATTGGCATGCGTTGGCATGCAGTGGCATGCGTTGGCATGCGTTGGTATGCGTTGGCATGCGTTGGCATGCATTGGCATGCACTGGCGTGCGTGAGCATACATTGGCATGTATTGACATGTATTGGCATGCAATGGCATGCATTGGCATGCGTTGGCACGCATTGGCATGCGTTGGCATGCAGTGGCATGAGCTGGCATGCATTGTCATGCGTTGGCATGCGTTGGCATGCATTGGCATGCGTTGGCATGCATTGGTATGCGTTGGTATGCATTGGCATGCGTTGGCATGCATTGGCATGCGTTGGCATGCATTTGCCTCCGCGTCTTAGTGGACCTCTGCCCCAGCAAGTTCACGTCCCTTCGGGATGCCGCCCCCTAGGAGCCCAGATCCAGGGATCGCCAAGAAAGGCTGAGGGGTGAGGAGTGAGGGTAAGGAGGACCATTCATCGCACCTGTTGGACATCTGTCTGCAGGAGAGTGTGTTTTTGGCCCCTGCGTCGGTGCCGGCGTTATCAGGTCCGTTGGATCCGTACTATCCCTAGTTTGGGGTCATGATTTGGACCCCCCTTTCGCACAGCCATACCCCAGGGGATCGGCGAACGGGGGATCCAATCTTGAACCCAACTATCAGTCCGTGCTAATCCTCCTCCCCCTCCTCCTTCTCCTCCTCGTCCTCCTCCTCCTCCTCCTCCTCCTCCTCCTCCTCCTCCCCCTCCTCCCCCTCCCCCTCCTCCACCCCACTTCGTCCTGAAGACCCCCTGCCTTGTCGTGGTGTGCGTCCTGGTGGGCAGGGGTAGAGTGCGCAGCGTCTTGTCGGACTTTCTTCCTGTTGACAGGGGGGGGTGCTTTTCAAAGACCTCCAAGAATCTCACCAGATAACACTCGGCATTGGGCCACGCCGCAGCGCGCCTCGGGGCCGCGGTAGCGGGTGTGACTCTCCTCGTCATGGTTTTGGGCAGGGGTGTGCATGGAGGTAGATGTGAAGCAGATGGTGATTCTGATGATGACGATGACCATGACGGTGTTCATGACGATGGGGATGTTGCTGGCGATGATGATGATGATGATGATGATGCTGATGGTGATGATGATGGTGACGATGATGCTAATGGTGATTCTGGTGATTGTGTGACGATGCTGATGATGTTGATGCTGATGACGATGACGATGATGCTGGTGATGATGGTGATATTGCTGATGATGCTGGTGATGATGATGGTGATGATGACGGTGGTGATGATGACGATGATGAGGATGCTGATGATGCTGTTGATGATGATGATGATGATGATGATGATGATGATGATGATGATGATGATGATGATGATGATGATGAGGGCGATGATGCTGATGTTGATGCTGCTGCTGATGATGATGATGATGATGATGATGCTGACGGCGATGATTATGACGATGATGCTGATGACGATGACGGTGCTGCTGCTGCTGATTTTGATAATGACCGCGATGCTGTTGATGATGGTGATGCCGATGCCGATCATTCTGATTATGGTGAAGATGTTGCAGCTGATGATGGTGGTGGTGGTGATGATGCTGCTGCCGCTGCTGCTGCTGGTGCTGCTGATGATGTTGATCATGACGATGCTGATTCTGATGACGATGATGATGCTGCTGATGATGATGATGATGATGATGATGACCATGATGATGCTGATGAGTGTGCTGCTGATTCTGATACTGATGATGCTGGTGGTAGTTATGATGATGCTACTGATGCTGCTTATGATGCCGATGACGATGGTGATGATGATGATGATGATGATGATGATGATGATGATGATGCTGATGGTTATGATGATTTTAATGATGATGACCATGATGATGCTGATGGTGTTGTTGATTATGATGATGCTGCTGATGATGATCATGCTAATGTTGATGATGATTCTGATGATGCAGAAGAAGATGATGGTATGATGACGGTGATGATGATGACGATGATGGTAATGGCGACTATGGTGATTCTGATGACGATGTTGTTGATTATGATGATGATGCTGATGCTTATGACGATGATGATGATGATGATGATTAGGATGAGGATGATGATGATGATGATGATGGTGATGATGATGATGATGATGTTGATGATGGATATGACGATGACACTGATGATGGTGCTGATGGTGATGATGCTGATGAAGCTGACAATGATGACGATGATGGGGATGATGATGACGATGATGAGGATGATGATGGTGATGATGATGATGATGATGATGGTGATGATGATGATGATGATGATGATGATGATGATGATGATGATGATGATGATGATGATGATCGGATGATGATCGGATGATGCTGATGATGCTGATGATGATCATGGGGAAGGAGGAGGAGGACCAGGAGGAGGAAGAGGAGGAGGAAGAGGAGGAGCAGGAGGATGATGATGATGATGATGATGATGAGGAGGAGGAGGAGGAGGAGGAGGAGGAGGAGGGCCAGGAGGAGGAGGAGGGCC